ATAAAGTGCGCCCTCTCTAGTGAGATTAGTTTTTGTACTTCGCATCTCACACAATGCGGTCGTTCGGTTAGGCTGAGATATGTTTGTTTAAGTGTCAAAATCTCAGTCAGAATCAGTTTTTTTAACAAATCTGAAATAATTCCTGTGAAATATTATATTCACAAGTGTCAATACTAGCAACGGAAAATATCATGTCGGCCGTTTTTATGTGTGATAACAGAACCTAAATCGAGGTAAGGCTAGGCCTAGCCTAGCAGCATTGGATAGGACATTTACCAAGATGTTAAATATAATAAACAGTTTCTTAATTTTGGATTTTTCCTCCATGTTTAGTATGTATTTTAGGTTCCTCCTTGGTAAAAAAATGTATCTATTTTTACCCCCAAAAAAACGAAGACACCGATCCTAAATTTTTCTTGTCTCGATTATACTTTTGTTGATGACAACAAAATGATAGTTATAGTGTCATCAGATAATAGGGATGTTGGTTATTGTTGTTATATATGTTGTCATCAATGGTGATGATTATGATGTAATAATGAAGTTAGAATTAGCGGCATGTGTCTGTTTTGCTTTATCTATTACCTCATTTTCAGAAACATTTATTTTCTTCCTTTGAAGTAAATTTAATTATAATACATTTGATGCGAAAATTAATGTGTTTTTTCTATGGTAAATAAAATGATAAAATGCAAAGGAAAAAGCAATTTTCCGAGAAGATTTAAAATAAAATCTTGTGATGGGCCAGCTAAACAGAACAAGTGTTGACAAAAATTAATGTGAATACAGAACAAATGTGAAGACGACTAAAACCAGTCATTTATTTGTTTTCCACGCAGGCATTCCAATTTGATGGAAGCACAACGCAGATGCTACAGAATATGGTAACACATGGCAAGATATAATAAGCAACAAGATATGCAGTGCCTTATGGAATCCTGCCATAAATCAACCATTCCTATTAATTATTGTGAATTTAATATATATTTATAATGCATGTATTGATAAATGTTTTAAATAAATAAGATTTTCTTATTCCATTTCTATATGTACATTAGTATTTTCATCTTTGCATTAAAAACTGCATAAAAATAAATGTGAAACAAAATAGTATATCTATTGGTGTATTGATAACTGTTCCACATATGCCATGTTTTATATAATTATAGATGGTCATTTGTTTCTTCTCTACACATTAATACAGTATTTCTATATTTGTATTGAAAACTTTATCAGAAATGTATGTTAAGAGAATATATTTTAATAATAATAATAATAATAATAATAATAATAATGTCATTTTGTTAGGCGCACGTATCCATCCCTAGTAGGGGTGCTCGCGGCGCCGTTTTCCACCTGCCAAGTGTACATGTAACCAATTTCGCATTATTATGTGAATTAATTAATTTTAATTATTTATTTAATCTTAATGTATATTTATTTGTGTCAGACCAGACATGCGTAGTTTAAGTATCTGGAAAAAAGTATTTGTAAGAAGCGAAGTTTATACAACAGGTGACTTAATTAATGTAGTCAATTTTACCCAACACAAACGGTAACTATTGGTCCAGTTTTTTTCCCCATGGATTTAAATTTGCAGTAGGTTTTCAGACAGAGATTTTGCACGTACATGATCAGTCTAATTGATACATTTTGTGGAGAGTTTAGAGTTGCGTTCCGAAGGTGTGATTTAGTCGACCTGTTCGCATTCCACTTTTCTGCTTAGAAAAAGGACAGCGTGAATATTCAAACATTTATTTGGTTAAACTTGTTTTGGTTATTCAACCAAGAGAATGTTACGCAGGCTGCTGTTCGTTAATGGATTTTTTTTGTCAAGTGGTCAAGTATATGGTCAGTTTGACCAAACTTTATCCGCAGTGTCAATCAAACTTAACAACTGACCGATCAACTTAAGGCCAGGAATATGTGAGTGTCCTCATTGGCGTAAGGAAGGAGCCGGAGGCCCTTGGGTAGGGGCCTGTGGGCCGCAAAGAGTCCCAGGTAGTGGTCTGGGGTTCGGCGTTTTTAGCGTTCTATGACATATTTTAATGCTTTTTTTACACATTCAAATTCAAAGTTTATTTATCGTGATTTCACCCAAAAAAGCATACTTATATACTACAGAATATGGCTTGGAAAAAACGTGCCTTGGTTATTCGTTTATTTAAAAAAAATTTGAATTTTCTTGGGACCCCTTGAGGCTTCGAGGCCCCAGGCTTTAGTCAGTGGAACTCGTAGCCGTTACGCCACTGCATGCGCTACAAATGCATGTGTTGTCAAACAATCCCACGTGTTTACATACGTATAATATTATGCTATTGTTTTGTGGGACATTGGGAACGATATCCAAGGGGCGGGATTAGCAGACAGGTCCATGTCTGCTGCCAGATGAATAACTGCATTATATACATTTCATACGTATTAGTAAATAATATAAATTTGGTATTGAATATTGATCAGTGTTTTATTCACTATAATTCAAATATTTTGTAAGTTTTTTATTGCAATCTATATGCAATTTAAACGCTATTATAAATATTGACTAACACCTTTTAATGACTCATGAAATTCATAATTACAGCTATCATGTAACAATTAAAGTTTTTAGCTAGCCCCGCCCAGATTCAAGAAATGAAAATCGTTGATTGGCGCGCTGGAACAACTGCCCGCTTGCAATGAAATGAACAACCAATAGAACACGTGCATTTTGTTCAGTGATTGGAAAATAAACCCTAGATTCCATAAAATCGTCACCGCCAGCTTTCAGCGACGCTGATTGGTTGGGCCATTCGGGGAGCCTTCCCGATAGCGTCGGGGACAATAAAGACGCTGTAGCGATTTTAGGGAAAATACTATTATTCGTTTATATAGGCATGTAAATGTTTAGACTAGTAGGTTCAGTGACCGGCGATGCATTTCTGCAGGTTGATGCTTCAAAAGCCAATGGTACGGAAGCTTAAAGTGACCATCCGAGTTTCCGAGTTTCCAAGATAATTATCTTGGAAACATGGAATAAACACTTATTAAGACGTCTTTCCGAGATAATTTATCTCGGAAAGACGTCTTTCCGAGATAACGTATTTTGGAAAGACGGAATTCCAAGATAACATATCTTGGAAAGACGGAATTCCAAGATAATTGATCTTGGAAAGACGGAATTCCAAGATAAGTATCTTAGAAAGACGGAATTCAAAGATAACGTATCTTGGAAAGACGGAATTCCAAGACACGTATCTTAGAAAGACGGAATTCAAAGATAACGTATCTTGGAAAGACGGAATTTCAAGATAACGTATCTTGGAAAGATGGATTTCCAAGATAAATTATCTTGGAAAGACGGAATTCCAAGATACGTTATCTTGGAAAGACGTCTTTCCAAGATACATTTTGAGGATATTTCCTGCATTTGTAAAGGCATGAAGCGCTATAAGAACGACATTATTTTATTGGTTCATTGCCGTTTTGACCTGCTACTGTTAGTGTAAGCCTGGCCCTTGTGAGGGTTGCCAAAGTGCATGCCAGCGAGTCATCCAGCGAGGCATGCAATTCATGTGAGCCATGACGGTAATTTATGCGGGACGTGTACCGACAGTGCGAGTCCTGTCTCTTATACACATCTAGATGTGTATAAGAGACAGCTCGGAAACGCGGAAGGTCACTTTAAGCTTCCGTACAATGGGGTGCATTCAGTTCAAAATATATTTACAGCTGTTAAATTGCAGCAAGTACTTTCGGTTATATATCCTTACCTTGATTTTAAACTAAAATACTTTTACCATTTCCGAGTTGCATTTATGTATACTTTGCCTATACAGCCTTTCTTATCTATACCTTTGGTAATTGTATTTTTCTGTTGGTGAGAAGAAATTATAGGCCATGAATGTCTCGTATTTTGAATTTCTTTGTTTTAGTTGTGCAAAAATATTTGTATATATTACCCAAGACAGTGAGACGTGCACCTTAACCACCAAAATGCATTAACATGTATGCGATAGCGTATCACTGAGCATACGGAAAATGAGAGGTGGTGGGGTTGGTTACTCACGGTACTTGAGCCTTCGTTGTTCAAAACGTAAAAAACTATAATAGTAAATTAATGGAATTACCTGGCAAACTCAGTTAATCTAGATGCTAACATACATTAATTTGTCACGAAAAGTCCATTACAGTATTATTGGGGTTTTTTCACACATTTTTTTTTTTATTAAATTTAAAAAAAAAAAAAGCAGAAAATATAGACAGGAGCTAAAAATCAAATTCCATCGAGAGCCTATTACAGACTCTGTGTCAACATTCAGCAGTGGCGGTGAACGAACAACCATCGGGGAGAAAAAATGATATATATTTTCTACATATTAGTAAACTACATAAAATCGATTAAAAATAAGCCTCTGAAAACCCTGCACTACTTTTGAGACACTGCACGGCGCCTGATACGTCCACCTTGGGCCATCGCAGCATATTTTTTCCCATAAATAAAAACTAATAATAATCTAATAACAAGTCTCATCAAATGCAGACATTGAAGACTGGTTTCATAACTATGAAAAAAAAAATGTTAAAATTAAAATTGACCCTGGAAAAACATAATCTATATTGACCCTATGCGTTGGATTTTTTTTTTAAAGGATCCCCAATTTGTTGTGGGATTGTAGGTTTGTCATTCATTTATTCAATCGGTCAATAATTCATTTATTCATTCATTCATTCATTCTTTCATTTATTCGGTCAAAATCGCAGCAACTACATATTCTTTTCATCATATGTAATTATGTGACGCTTGTATTAAATTGTTATCAATTTTATTATACCGAAATGGTCATTTAAGTACGAATAGATCTGAGATTTTGAGTAGGCCTCGGCACCTAAACATACTGTGTAATTAGAGTGCCGTTTCTGGGTATCCAGAGGTGACCATCCTGTTTTGTTTTTTGTTTTTTTTTTTTTCGCCTCAGTCCCAACCATTTCAAAGCTGAGGTTGTGACTACTCCACATTTGCAGTGATCTCATTGATGCTTTAACGGATTTTTTAGGGCTATACAAAGTCCTGTTAAATGTGTTTTCCTACACTTTAGGCCTATTATTAAAAAGACAAACAATATTATGCGTTGGTGTGACGCACAATTAAAAAACAAACACCCACACATCCATCTAATCCCATCATATAGGAATTCCGGTGTTTTAAGGATGTTTTTTTAGACATCTTCCATCTTCCTAAACATGTTGTCAATGGTTCATCATCACGAGACAAGGATAGTCTGACAATTTTCAGTGGAGGTCATTAGGGCAGCCAGGCCCCAGACGATGTCCAGCGGCCCAGCCACAGATCCTATAGGAACTGTGGTCCAGTGGAACTATTGCATGGTACAGGCAATTTTAGCTGTACAGCGTATTTCATGGAGTTGATAACTCCATGCGAAAAATTTGGCCTATATATTGTAGACCTATATATAATTCATGATATAATGACTGATAAGCAATTCTAATATTTAAGTTTATTGTTAAAGTATATTGTCTCATCACATGACAACAGGTGTTTCACCGGCTAAAACTCAAATCTACATATCCTTAAGGTTAGGGTTTGAGTGCGCTCTCAATAATCAAAATGCGCCAACGAAAAGTGTTCCTGCTTGTTAGCTCGATGATTTCCTAGCTAGGGTCTTAACCTTGTTCGGTCCACTGACTCAATGATCTATATTGACCAACGGCGGCCGTTTCGAGGTGGGGGCGGGGCGCATTTTACCACCACTTTTGTGACTGTTCCCAGCACCAGTGACAAAAAAATTACGAACGCTGCAATGTCATCATTATTATTATTATTATTATTATTTTTTTTATATTATTATTTTTTTTTTATATTATTATTATTATTTATATTATTATTATTATTTTTTATATTATTATTATTATTATTTATATTATTTATTTTTTATGGAGATATAAAGAAAATTATATTCAAATTTTAAGTCTGAGCATAATCACAAATGTTCTTACCTCAGCCTTAACCATGGTGGGAGCTAAGGTGTATAGACTCTCCATTTCTTAAAAGTACCCCCCGGGGCCCGTCTATTCCGAATTTCTGGATCCGCCACTGGAAATTACAACAATTATGAAGTCATATTACAGGAAGTAGCTGGCAGTGCCTATAAAATAACTAATAAAATTCACCAAACTTCGTCAAATGTCCGTAGATTCCAAGGGGCTTCTCTCCTTGGACCCCATCGGGGCCCTTGGATGCCCCATGGCCCCCAGCCTAGATGCTCGCTTCGCTCGCATATAGACCTTATGATTATACACCCCCCCCACATTACTGAACGTTCCGCCGCCGTTGATGTTGACTACATTCGCGACCCCACTCCCTCTTTAAAACATAGTTTCTATTTTATATATATTATGAATGCAAGACTATGAAATTACTCTTTGAATTGTGATCATAATGAGTGTTGCAAACTATACCAAAAAAAAAAAGAAAGAAAGAAACACCACATGTTAGCTACCAGTTTATCAATTAGTTTTGATTACTTTTTACTGTTGCCAACCGTAAGCTATTATTATATATCTAGCATGTTTAAGATTTGGTCAGCATGACAGTACACACCTATCTCATGCCCACCTCGATTGGGAGTCAAATTTTCAGAATATAGCACCTCATAATGCCCGGAAATGGCACTCACATTCTTTCAATTTTTTTTTTAATTGTCTTTAGGATGTGTTAAATTTTCTTGTTTTTCTTCTGTCTTTCTTGGAGTATGATTGTAGGATGTGATATACAGGAGAAAATAGTAGGAAAAATAAACATAATAATAAAAAAGAAAATAATAATAATAAAAACAGTAATAGCCTAATAATAAAATAAATATAATAATAATAATAATAATAATAATAATAATAATTAATAATAATCAATACAATAATAGAGTAATAGTAATAAGTGTTAGTAAATAAAAAGTTACTATCCATATATATGATATATATATATATATAACTATATAACAAAATAACTATAATAGTAATAATAATCATAACAATAATAAATACGATAATATAAAAAATAAATTCAAATAAAATTAAACTGGATAATAATATTAATAATGATAATATTAAATCAATATTGTAGGTCTATATTTAAAAAAAATAATAATTACTATAGTTATTATTATAATAATTATACTAATAATATATGTATTTGTTTTGTAATCCTATGAATTTCAATTATATAAATAGAGACCAGGGAGAAAATTCTGTATTTATTGCTCATTTTCCTTTCCCAGATCTTTTGAAATATGTGAAACCCGTTGAAAAATATACTTTATGCATATCCTTCCGTTTCAGTATATCTGACAGTTGCATTTCACTACAGTAGCATTATACTCATATGACTTTCTACTTCTGTTTTTATTGTTCTACGAAGTCTTAGCGATTGCACAATAAAATAGATTAATTGCTGAGAATTA